GCCCAGGCACTCTGAGCTCTCCTCAGGCCCCTCCAGGTTCAGTGATAGCCAGTGGGCTATGGTCTTAGGGATAGTTACAAAATTGGGGCCAGAAGAAAAAGTCAATAGTGGATTCCATTTTGAGGGTTTCAAATGGATATTCTAGAGATGATGATTTTATTATCACAGTTTAGGCTAATTTGCCTCAGACTCTGTCTTTTCATTGGAAGACAGTTGTCAGATATTTTCTATACATATTCTAAGCTTGATGCAGTCTTTCTTCATATTATCTTCATCAGTTAAAAACTGTACCAACTGTACCTGTCACCTTTCAGATTTCATTCTGTATTTCCTCCCCCCAAATGCATTCAAATCCTGAATAATGTAAGAACTAGCAATAATATACGTATAATATGACATTTTAAAAAATACTGAAGATCATGATTTTGAAAAAGAATTCTAAGCCTGTTCTCTGTTTAGCTATGCTCACCTTAGTGCCAACACTTAGTTGATACTCAATGGAAGAATGAATAGTTATAGTCCCTTTATGACAGTTTCATTTTTATTTTCTTTGTTATATATAAATAGTATCTGTTAGAAATACTTCCCAGACCTGTATTCTCCTTGTTCTCAGTGAACATTGGAACTTCAATGCTGTATGGGTTATGCATTAGATCCTTCTAGTACTTTGGACACAGCAGTCATCCAGAAATTTAATTTGATTGTCCAACTTTCCCTCATCCCATATCTTTCCCCTATATTTACAATATTTCTAAAATTAAAATTTCCATTTCAGTTATCTACAGATGTAATTCTTATTCTTATTTTCTTTTTTTATTATAGTTGAGGTCTTCCAGAGGAGAAATGGTCCATACCAACCACAGTCAATGGAGGTTCTTTTCCTATGCACCTTCTCTTCAATGGAGAATTCTGCTATTTTAAAATATTTAATTAAACTGTTTTAAAATTTTATTATAAACATTTTTAGATACATAAAAATAGAGTATCTAAAAAAGGGAATCCCCAAATACCATCATACTTATTCAATAATTATCAATAGCTCATGAATTTAATTTATTTTTTTTAAACATGTCTTGACCTCTATTGTCTATTCCGAGGTGGAAATTCTCAGGTTCTCTCTCTTCTTGTGGAGATGTTTATTTAACCTCTTGGAGAAGGCTGGACATTTATTACTGTAATCATAGGCTACCAGCCCCTTTCTATATATTGTTCACAAAATCATGAGATACTCATTCGACTCCCAGTCACCTGCTATCTGAATGCCATTCCCATGGTATACCTAGACATTTCTCTATCTTAATGAAGACACTTCTCCATTGATCTCTCATAATTCTGCATATCCTGTGAATAAAGCACTGACTTACCTTTGGTCTTTTAAGAAGATGTTTATATAGTGAAAAATGTTAGAAGTTAGAGATAGGGTATCTCCCTGGAGAAAAAGGTGGCATACTTACTGATCATTATAAAAGATGTAGGTTCCCTAAGCTCAGGTCCTTCTCTTATAACTCAACCTACTGTATAAACAGATGTCACCTGATCCTTTTGAATAACGCTGTTAGAACTGGCACTTAGGAACAGATGCAAAAACCCTGTTATTCTGAATATTGCTATTGATGTGAGTAATAAAGCTGTTCTTCATCTATCATTTATTATCTTGGTTTCTGTACCAGTATCCATAAAACTACAACAGGTTAACTTATTGGTTTGCAAATAGAGTCAAAGTCAGACCTTTTGTGATTTTAGTAATGATGATGGGATTCTGACAAACATATGGCTTTCTGGAAGAGGAAGGATGAGTGCCTCACAGGCTAATGATCAGGATTTAGGGGAAGTCCATGGGTATCAGCAGTGAATTGAACAAATGGCATGGAAAATATACTCTCCGTACTTTATTGCCTGTTATGTTAGTCAGCTTTCCATCACTGTGACAAAAATACCTGAGGTAAGTTCTAAGGAAGAAAAGTCTATTTTGGTTCATAATTTCAAAGGTTACACACCATGGTCACTTGGCCTATTGCTTTTGAGACAGTGGCAAGACAATACATCATGACAGAAGGGCTTGGTCAGAGGAAAACTGCTTATCCCCTGGTGGTTGAGAAGTAGAAAGAGGTGGAGAAAGGGGAAAGCTTGGCTTCCCTTTTCAAGGGCATGCCCTCATTGACCTGCGCCTCCAACCAGGCCCCACCTTTTAATGTTTCCATCACCTCGCAATAGCACCTTCAGCTGGGGACCAAGACTTGAACACATGAGTTTAAGATCAAACCATATATCTGCTAACTGGAAGAAATTGGAAAGGTGATTGCAGGTTGAGTATGAGGAAGTAAACTTAGATATAGTTGACTCAACAGTGTCCTGCTTGTTGCTAACCCTCCTCTGGGCAGGGGAGCTTCCTCACTGAGAGTTCAACCTCAAATCTACTCCGTGTAACTGCCATTATTGAGATTCTTCCTGGTGGCAGATGGCTCCATTCTCTTCCAGACAAGTTACAGGGATACATATCTAGACTAAACAGGAAAGGAGGGAATTTGCTACCAATATGGGCAAAATTCAGGAAATTATTAGAACTTTGACTGGTTTGCTTAGTAAATCAGGGGTAGAAGAATGGCAACAATGGGCTTTCTTACAGTTCAACCCCTCCTGCAATCTACAATGCTAACCTTAAATCCATTTGAAGGTGACAGGAAAAGGCCTCAGAAGTTTTTCACAGCAAGTCCTGACTGCTAAAAGGGAGTTTTGGGGAAACTCCCTTCTCGGGGAGATTTTTTTTGGAAAAGGAAAATTCCTGTGGGAAACTATAGATGAGACTTTGGTTAGGATCCAGGTCATTAATTAGGTTTATAATGTTGTTGAATGAAAATTAAAAAAAAATGATCTCTCTGTCTCTCCCTGTTCCACTGACCTCATCTATGTTAAGGACAAATGATTAGAGATGGGGTGAGGGTCTTCTTGTTCCCTACTAGGGTTGAAGACCATACGTCTCCATCTCAGTATGTTGGGGAATAATTTAGAGAAAACTTTTCTGACTGTCGGATACAAGAACCTATCAGGACCTGCATAAAGAAAAGACATGCAGATTCAGTGAATGGTGTTTGGGTAGGGTTCAAGTGAAGAAAGGAAGCTAGCTTTCTCCACCTGGAGACCTTTCAGTCCATTCAGTGTTTTGCTGTTGCTGTATCCACATCTCAGCCTAAACAGGAATCAATGCTTGTATTTGCCTTGTGACTGAAAGGATTCTCCTAATTGAGAAGAGCTGCATGTAAAGAATGCGAATGGGACACATAAATATTAGTGAATGCCTGAGGAGTTCAATGATGCCTTGGAGGAGTACTAAACAGCCTTCCTGCAGGAGTCTTGATCTTTAAGTGCCAATCATTAGTTTGCCATCAGTCTGCAAAATGGGTTCAGTTGCAATCGGTGTCTGGAATAGTTGGTGCTATGGGAGCAACAAATGAATTAGTTGCCAATGTGTGCATAAGGATTTAGGGTGTACCTCCACCCTCTGCTGTCAAAAGCTTTCATTACATAGATGATGGCTTTCTTGGCCACTGGAAAATTGAAGGCTTCAACTTAATCACCCTAACCACAGTATTATTACCTAATACCTGCATTATCACAGATGGCTGATAAACCCTAACAAAATTCAGGAGTCTGCTGGTCAAGTGAAGTTGCTTGAACTACTTGGTTGCATTCACAACACTCAACTTCTTTGGCATTCAAGGAAAAACTGCTATCTCTTTAACCCCTATCACCAAAAAGAAAGCCCATATTGGACTCTGAGTATTAGAAACAGTATATGCCTCACTGGGGATACTATTTGATTTTTTTGATGAACTAACTTGAAATTCAAAATTCTTTGAGGGGTATCCAAACCAAGGCTGTGTTGTAAGCTGTCCTCCAAGTTATACCACACTGTCTACACTAGGGTACCATGACTCTAATGACCCCTCTGAGCTACAAGTCTTTGTGACTGATGATTTTGTTGTTTGGAGCCTCTGCCAGCAGGAGATAGCCTCTATTCAGAGATTCCCCCATGGGGCTTTGGACTTACTACTGCCTTTATGTAGCTACCAGGAACACCCCTTTTGAAAAAGTAACTTGAGATCTTGTCAAAGTTGAATGCCTGACCAAGTATTCTTGTGACTCTCTGTATGACATCCCTATTTTGGGGTGAGTCAACTTGGCGTTAAGTCAGGAAGGGCCAACCAAGTTTCACTTGTTAAATGGAATGGTACACTCAAGAACACAGCTAGCTCAGCCTGGAGCATCCAGATTCCACATTTAAGAATTGTACCTATACCTTTGCTAGAAAACTCTATCCCTACTATGCCAAATGAAGCAAAGGCTTCAAACCAAGGGCTTCCCAGGGCCATTGGTTCAAGCAGTTCCCCTTTGGGCTCATTGTTTGGTTAAGCTGAAATATGACAACATTCACTGGGCACAGTGACTGCTCAACCTCAGTGACAAAGATACAAAACCAGAAATGGATGAGGTTGCTCTGCTCAGGGGGCAGAACTCAAGGCTGTTCTCATATCTCTGGTCAATACTATCCTTGAAAAACATTTGTTATGTTTTTTACTGATTGCTGGGCTGATGCCAATGTGAATGTAGGGTTTGGCATTTAAAGACTGGCAGATTAAAAACAAAAATAATTAGGGAGATAAACTATGAAAATAAATTGTGGCGACTGATGGAACTCTTCAGATTAAGCCCATGGCAAGAGTCCATGATCTAATAAGATCAACTGGACTCAAGCTGCTGGTCAAGCCAGTACCACACAGATTGCCACCATTGCTGCCTGGGTGGATGGTACAAGACCCATCACACACTGGGCATAAAGTGAAGGTCTGTATGTTCCTGATGCAGAGGATACTGCTGCCCTGCTTCAGTTGCTTGAACTACTTGGTTGCATTCACAACACTCAACTTCTTTGGCATTCAAGGAAAAACTTCTATCTCTTTAACCCCTGTTGTAGGAACAGACAAGGTCAGACACCAAAGGAGTACTAGGAAGCAGATTTATTTGGCTGCAACTAGGTACAGAGGGAAAAGCTTTCGCTATATCAATCAATTCCCCCGAAAGCCCAAGTTCAGGATGTTTCAAAACTTTATACCCAGTGTGTAAGGGGAGGAGCTCAGAAGTTCATAATCTGCAGAAGTTCACACAAAAACAGCTTTTTCTTTCACTGTTTTGGGCAAGTTAACACTTCAAGGACAGCGCTTGAGAAGGGAGAGCTTCTTTTCCCCTCTGCCAGCAGTTTCCTTGGAACCCAATTAGTAACATCATCTCCTATCTTTGAAATGTAAATATCCCTGGGAAGCTCGCTGGCTCAAGTCCAGAGACCTTGTTAAAAGAATCTGTCTTCCTTATCACACTCTGCATTTGCAAACACACTTCCAGCTTGAAAACTTTTGCAAACTATTATACATATATTGTTTTAGATTAGAGAATCTACAACACTAGATAGCCCATAAATGTTATGAAAAACTAGTAAAGGAGTGTTCAGCACCTGGAGTGCTGATTTCCTTCATCCCATGGCCAAGTAGGATAGAGCAACAGGAATTAGGAAGCTTAATTACATTGAACTCTTGCACAGAGCCTTTTGCTGATAGTCCTAAGATCAATTATGGTGAAGATTTCTGAAGCAGCTTAATTAAGATTTTGCGGGTGGTGGTGCCACTACAGAACCAAGGCCAAAAGACCTGTTTGTGCACTGAAGGAGAACCCATTATGTGAGGCATTGACCCCACCCACTATGGCAGATCATCTAAAATTGACTTTTGATTCCTTCTCAGGGATATCCAGGGGCTAACTACTGTTGACACTTTTTTAGGTTTTAGTGTTTCCGTTACAGTTTGATTAGCCCTTGACACTAATCCATGCCATGTTTTTGGCTATCTGGACCTTTAACAGTCTGGAAATAGTATGCCTTTTACCACAAAAGCCACTCAACAGTGGGTTCATAGTCAAGGTATTTGATGAACCCTCTGTGCTCCCTGTCATCCATGGGCATCTGGTGCTGTGGGACACTGGAATAGCCTCCTCAATGGGATTTCCAATTCTACCTCCCTCAATCTCCTCCTGATCCCACACACCTTAGTTAGATAATTCTATCACTGAATGCAACTCCTTCTCAGTTGCCTCCTGGGTAATAATTAGGATGAAGAGGGTAGAGAGACCAATTTTGAAAATTCAGGACTTTGCCCAAACCATTTGATAAAAGCATGATGCTTTTATTTTTCTTTCAATGGTAACCTCAGGCCAGTCTGGTTGGTTTACCTACTATTGCTATAAGTTATAAATTGTCCTTTGTCTGTATTTCTTCCTATTTTCTTATTTCTTCTCCAAGAATCCATAAACTATTGCTCTTCATGTTTCTTGACACCATCCTACAATGAAAAATAGTCTGGATTGTAAAACAATTTAAATATAAATCCCTACAGAAGGATACTTGTTTTTATTTTACCTTTCAACTAGTATTGCCCAAACCAACAGTGATAATTCTGTTACATGCTTTTATGGACTCAGCAAGCTTATACTAAAAACATTTTGACAAAAAATGGAAATGAGTAGGATTTGGGCACTATTTGTTCCAAATAGTGGAAGAAATATTGTATTTTCTTTGCTTGTTACCATCTTACTTACAAGGTCTAGGGTGTGATTACGTATGGGAAGAGTGTGCCTTTTAATGATGTTCCTTGGTGGTGACACAATGTGTACAACAAAGAAACTAATTACAGTAAAGATTGTATACTGCTCAAATCAGGGTTGCCTAATTGAATCCAATATTACTGCTGATAGCTATGAATATATTTAAAGAATTTGTTGTGAAATTTCCTCCCAGGTTTACTATTATGACTCAGCCTCCATGCTGTGAGATTACAGGTCAGGAGGTTCCTGGTACTAAAGGGATAATGTTAGCTTGCAGCGTGAGTGTGTATGTGTGTATCTGTGTGTGACCCTTCAGAACTTTTTCATGCGCTCAAACCCAGGCAGGTGAAAGCCATTTTCTCATTTACTAACAAAGGTTTCTGTGGTTACCATAAACCACAACCTTCAAAGGTCCTTGTTTACATTAGTTGATATGCAACAGTTCTGACACACAGTTCTTCACTTATCTTCACCTGTGTGGTAGCTACTGCTCATGGAAACCCCGTGAGGCTTAGGACCTGGAGAATGAAGAGAGCTCAATGATATACCTGGAAAGTGTCGTGGCTAAATGCTCAGCAACTGCATTATGACCTATGACTGCAGTAAGGGAATCTTCAGATGAGTATTGTTGAGTGCAAGGATTTTACTGGACACAAAAAATACATAGATGCTAAAATGTTTGCCTACGGAAAACTAGCAGTTTAATTGGGGGCAACCATAAATAGTTCTATTCACCAAAAACTATTTGACATGTGGATGTATGCACAAAATGTTAAGTGGGAATGCAGAGAAGAAAATGATTGTTTTTACTTGGAATTAAACAAGAAAATTGAGAGTGAAACATGGTTTTGTAATTCCAGTGACTCAGGGGACTAAGTCAGGAGGATTGCAAGGCTGAGGTCAGCCTCAACAACTTAGTGAGACCTATCTCAAATATAAGAAAGGATTGGGAATGTAGCCCAGTGGTAGGGAACACCTGAGTTCAATCACCAGTACTGGAAAAAAAAAGAAAAGAAAAAAGTGGCTTGGGAGTCCACTACTATGTACAAGAATACTGCATATAGCCCTATATTCTATGCTGTATGAGGCTTAGACCTCCCCAGAGGTGTACGGGAAAGATGAGATTTGGAGTTACAAAGCCTTGACCTTGAGTTTCAGCTCTTCCATTATCAGACACGTGTTAGTAATGTGATAGAGAAAAGAACTTAACCTCTGTTGAGACCCAGTTTCTTTACTGTTAAAATAGGAGTGGTGGTGCTACCTCACTGAGCTATGAGGACCAAAAAGAGAAAACCAGTGCACATAGTGCTACACAATTGCCAGTCTCCCTTCCCTCCTCTCACCCCCATCCCTACGTTGAGAAATGGGGAAAGGTCAAGTTGTCTGTTTACTGGGAATGGTCATTTGGTCATACTTTCAGGGATTCAGGGCAGATTTCAGAGTATTTTGAAATCTGAAAGCCAGATAATCATCCAAGTATGAGCAAAGGAGAAACTAACAACAAGAATTTTTTTAATCTTTTTTTTTTTTTTTTTTGCACCAGGGATTGAACCCAGGGGTGCTTAACCACTGAGCCACACCCCCAGCTCTTTTTTTTTTAATGTTTATTTTGAGACAGGGTTTTGCTAAGTTGCTGAGGGTCTTACTAAATTGTTGAGGCTGGTCTTGAATTTGTGATTCCTCTTGCTTCAGCCTCTGAGGTGCTGGGATGACAGATATATACCAACAATGGGCTTAATAATTTTTTTAATTCTCCCAAAAGCCCTATGAGGGAAGTAAAGTTCCCCATATTCGAATCCTATTTTCTTACCTACTATAATAGTTAGTATGACTTAATTCATTTTATCATGCAAGTTTGGTGCCTTTCAAAACTCTGAGACACCTTTTTTTTTTTTTCCTTTTAGTAAGGTTTCCAAATTTAGATACACTGCCATCAGATCAGCCTACTTGGCTGCAGACACCCAATACAGATGGAGCCACAAAGCCTGGTGTACAAATGTGTTTGATTGACTTAAAGCTTGGTATATTTTGCATATTTGTATAGAAAGGGCATACTGCTTCATTAAGAGTAATTATATGTAAAGTTTCTTAAAAATAGAGGAGTAAAGAAAACAATTTGTTATCTTTCTGTTTCTTTTTAATCAGCATATCACAAACTTAATGTTATACAGAGTTCAAGACTAGAGTGTTCCTTTATTATGCATTCTGAATCTTAGCTGGGGGTCAAAACTCTTCCAAGTCTTGGATATGCCTCAGAGCTTCTGACTAGGTTAGTATGAAGATGGTTTTTCTCTTGGTTGGCTGTGTCTTCTTCCCATCTTGGGCAAAAGGGCACTGAAAAGAAGAATTTTTTATTTATCTTTTTAAAACCACAAATCAGCCACCTGCCATGCCTTAGCTTCTTTGTTTAAATGTTTCCATTGGCTTCCCCACATTACCCTACACTGGATATAGGATAAGTGGTTCTAAACAATGCGCCATGTTTAGAATGCACCATAGATGTGCCATGACTCTAAAAAAGGGGAAGTTAATTTTTCCCATGTGATACAGATAGAAGGTGAGCATTGGTGGTCATCTAGCAGATTGTGTTCTATGAGGTCATTCAGGGAAACTGGTCCCTGTATCTGGCTGTTCCACCATGATGGACAGTGACATTCCGGTCAAAGCTGGGTTAGCACTCTGTCTGATTTCCAGCCTAAGGGATGCGTGAAGTCTTTTCTTTTGTCTGTGTCCTTAAGGAGATAACCTAGAAGCAGTACACATTACTCCTGTTTATTTCCCATTGGTTTGAACTTATACATGAGATCACTCCTCGTTGCAAGGACAGCTGGGAAATGTAGTTTATAATCAAATGGCCCTGTGTCTAGCTATAATTTAGGGAACTCTAAATAATAAAGGAGAATTGATACTGAGATATAGTTAATAATCTCAATCCTACTCCATTCGACAGAAGTTGAAAGAGAAAGGTAGCTACTTAAGGGAAGAACAAAACCTCCGCCATTGTGTTTTTGTTCATTTGTTTTCGTTTTGTGGTGCTGGGGATTGAATCCAGGGCTGCATGCATGCTAGGCAAGTGTTTTACCACTTAGCTTTCCTCCACTTTTTTTCGGTCCCCAATCATGAGGCTTTTCCCCAATATGAGTTTTTAGTATTCCTCTCCTCTATCATCCTCTGCATCCTCAACAGCATTTAACTGGTATCCCTGTCTACACCCTTGTCTCCCACAAAGGGATCTTTATCAAATGTAAACTAGGCAATGTCACTTCTCTTACTAATAACTTACTGACGACTTCCCAGGGCAATGAGAATCAAATCTAAACTCTCTTTCATGGCCTGCAGGCTGCCCTGTTAGCTTCTGCTTACTTTTCTTTCTTCTCTGCCCTCTGCTATAGTCTTTTATTTGTCCAATTTATTGCTTGAATATACACCTTGGTCTTTCTGTCTTGCTGTTCCTTCTGCTTAACAGCCTAACTTCACAAATTGCCTCCTAGTATTCAGGCCTCCATCCACATGTGATCTCTGCAGTGAGGCCTTCCATGACTACCCCAGCTAAGGCAGCTATACCCTCCCAGTCACCATCTGGGACATGACCCCAAAGTATTGAAAAACTGATATGACTCCATTTTTGAAAAAAGCTTCTACCTCAAAGCCTGTCCAAGGAAGGGGGTGTGACTCTTGTCCTTGGAAAAACCCACAGAGCACTCCTAAGCACATACCCACCCTGCTGAGTTGTTTGTCTGCAAATAACAGGAGAGATCTTAGACTCTAGGTGTCCCTGACTCAGTTAGGCTAGGTGAGGACCCATAGCAACCCCCTAGCAACTACCAATGAGACAGGGAAAATACCTGGGATGCCAGATAACCCCCCAGTAATTTATGGTGATTGATAACATGTTGGGAAACCATGTAGTTTAGTACATACACCGCTCGTGACTTAAACCAATCAGTTCAAAGGAATCCCCCTCTTGTACTAACCAATCACCCCTACCCAACTTGTTCCAGCCAGTGAATGTGCTAATCAATGTTAAGAGTTGTAGTTTGATTTTCCCGAGGTCTGAAATGATTTGCTGTGTGATGTTGTGATGCATAGAGCATCTCCAAATACCTATAAAATCTCACTGAACAAAGGACCAGGACTCATTCCCTGGGACCGCTCCTGTGTTGGAATGGTTGTGAGTCCAGGCTCGAGTTTGCAATAAAGACTCTTGTGTGATTGCATCAGATTCTGCTCCTGGAGGTCTACTGGGGTCCCACAAATCGGGCATTACTGTATCACCTTCATAACAAACATCATGATGACTATTACTTATTACTTATTTTACATATTTATAGTATGTAAGCTCCTGGAGTCAGAGAGATTGTCTTCTTCTCCCCTGTATCCAGAGCTCCTGGAAAATAGCTATAAGGGTATAATAGGCACTTTTTTTTAACTTATCAATGGACGTTTATTTTATTTTATTTATATGCAGTGCTGAGAATCAAACCCAGTGCCTCATACATGCTAGGCAAGTGCTCTACCACTGACCTATGACCCCAGCCCTAATAATATGCACTCTTTGGTCCTAATGAAACATCAGTACTATTTATCTAACAGCTATTAGCACAGGGCCTTGCACATGGTAGGCATTCAATAAATATTTATTAAATAAATAGAACTGTGCAAATTCCAGTGAATCAGAGGGACAAAGAGTGCCATTTGATAAATTGTTATAAACATTTTGTGCTTAATACTTTTTCTGAATATTAAAGAAATAAATAAGCTTTGTAAAAAATACAGCAGATAGGGCTGGGGCTGGAAGTCAGAGGCAGAGTGCTTGCCTCTCACACATGTGAGGCATTGGGTTTGATCCTCAGCACAATATAAAAATAAATAAGTGGAATGAAGATACTATATCCATGTATAACTAAAAAAAATTAAATACAGCAGATAACTATAAAGAAAAGCCCTACCACTGCAAGAAAATAATTGTTATCATTTTGGTAAGTATTCAAATAGTCTTTTTGCCTATATGCACACACACGTTTTTAAAAATTGGCATCATATTATATATGCACTTTAAATAGAAAACTTGCCAAGCACACTTGCCAAGAAATAATGCTTATTTTAAAGTATGAAGATGAGCATTAAAATAAATTAGGTTGGGTGCTTAACTTACATATTTTAGGTGGTGATTATAGGAAGTACAGAATAAGGTTTGCATAGACATTCCTATCAGCAGCTGTAACTATGCCCTGTGCCAGGGACCCTCTGTAGAACAGGAGAAAAAAATTCGCTAGCAGTTTGTCAAGTCTTAAATAGTGCTTATTTTTATTTAGGTCAAAATCTCCTTCATTTCCAGAGATACACTGAGTACTTCTCTGTTAATCTTTTCTAGTAAAAGATGATGAATATTACTGGAAGGAAACTATCAAGAAATATATTTTGTCCTTTGCCATAACTTGTATCCAATTCAAATTCCCATAATTGAATTGTATTTAAAGCTTGGCTACCAAAATGTCAGGGGTGTGCCTGTCTCTCAGGAAGGGGAGGGAAAACAACTAGATTTGGAAATCTGCGATGCAAATGTATATGAATATACAAATGACATTTATAGATCCCAATACACCATGAATATACATAGTTGGCATGAAGTCACTAAGCATAAAAATGTTGTGGGTGTTTACAAGTTTTTAAAAAAGGCATTATTTGCATTAAAAGAAAGTTTTCTAATTTCCAAAATAGTTTATCCAGGGAGTTGGGAATTTGAGCTAAGAGAGAAAGGTGAGAAAAAGAAGTACTGGGGAAAAAATGGGAAAGTCTATGAATAAAATAGTCTTTGTGCTTTGGGCCCTTTATACATAAAGAAGAAAAATCTGTATTCCCAGTTTTAACTTTGATTCTTTCCCTGGATGAGTCTGGCCAAGTTGTTTGCCTTCACTGAGTCTTTATTTCATTTCTTCATCACAAAAATAAAGCAAGAGAGAAAAATAAAACCCCAGAAAGAGTTTACTCAGTAGTGCACCTAAATAGTATAAAATGTTCTATCTGGCCCTAGCTCCCTATGTTTTTTTTAGTTGTAAATGAACACAATACCTTTTTTATTGATTTTTTAAAAAAATAAATGACAGCAGAATGCATTACAATTCTTATTACACATATACAGCACAACTTTTCATATCTCTGCTTGTATATAAAGTATGTTGACATCAATTCGTGTCTTCATACACGTACTTTGGATAATGATGTCCATCACATTCCACCATCCTTGCTAATCTCCTACCCCCTCCCTTTCCCTCCCACCTCTCTGCCCCATCTAAAATTCACCTATTCCTCCCATGCTCCCCCTCCCTACCCCTCTATGAGTCAGCCTCCTTATATCAGAGAAAACGTTCGGTATTTGTTTTTGGGGATTGGCTAACTTCACTTAGCATTATCTTCTCCAATGCCATCCATTTACCATGATTTTATTCTCTTTTATTGCGGAATAAAATTCCATTGTGTATATATGCCACTTTTTTAATCCATTCCTCCACTGAAGGGCATCTAGGTTGGTTCTACAATTTAGCTATTGTGAATTGTGCTGCTATAAACATTGATGTGGCCGTGTCCCTGTAGTATGCTGTTTTTAAGTCTTTGGGGTATAGACCAAGGAGTAGGATAGCTGGGTCAAATGGTGGCTCCATTCCCAGATTTCCAAGGAACCTCCATACTGCTTTCCATATTGGCTGCACCAATTTGCAGTCCCATCAGCAATGTATGAGTGTACCTTTTCCCCCACATCTTCGACAACACTTATTGTTGTTTTTCTTAATAATAGAATTCTGATTAGAGTGAGATGATAGAGTAGTTTTGATTTGCATTTCTCTAATTACTAGAGATGATGAACATTTTTTCATATATTTGTTGATTGATTGTATATCATCTTCTGAGAAGTGTCTGTTCAGGTCCTTGGCCCATTTGTTGATTGGGTTATTTTTTTTTGGTGCTTAGCTTTTTGAGTTCTTTATATACCCTAGAGGTTAGTGCTCTGTCTGATGTGTGAGAGGTAAAAATTTGCTCCCAGGATGTAGGCTCTCTGTTCACCTCACAGATTGTTTCTTTTGCTGAGAAGAAACTTTTTAGTTTGAGTCCATCCCATTTATTGATTCTTGATTTTAATTCTTGCACTATAGGAGTCTTATTAAGGAAGCTGGGGCCTAACCCACATTATAAAGATTAGAGCCTACTTTTTCTTCTATTAGATGCAGAGTCTCTGATTTAATTCCTAGGTCCTTGATCCTCTTTGAGTTGAGTTTTGTGCATGGTGAGAGATAGAGGTTTAATTTCATTTTGTTGCATATGGATTTCCAGTTTTCCCAGCACCATTTGTTGAAGAAGCTCTTTTCTCCAATGCATGTTTTTGGCACCTTTGTCTAATATAAGATAATTGTAATTGTGTGGGTTAGTCTCTGTGTCCTCTGTTCTGTACCATTGGTCTACCTGTTTTGGTGCCAATACCATGTTATTTCTGTTACTATTGCTCTGTAGTATAGTTTAAGGTCTGGTATAGTGATGCCACCTGCTTTATTCTTCCTGCTAAGGATTGCTTTAGCTATTCTGGGTCTCTTATTTTTCCAGATGAATTTCATGATTGCTTTTTCTATTTCTATGGGGAATACCATTGGAATTTTGATCAGAATTGCATTAAATCAGTATAGTGCTTTTGGTAGTATGGTCATTTTGATAATATTAATTCTGCCTATCCAAGACCTCTTTTGTTGATTCCCAAGTATCGTTTTTCTTTTTTTGAGGTTATTGTAAATGGGGTAGTTTTCCTCATTTCCTTCTCAGAGGATTTGATCTACAGAAATGCCTTTGATTTACGGGTATTGATTTTATATCCTGCTACTTTACTGAATACCTTTATTTTTATTTATTTATTTTTATGTGGTGATGAGGATCCAAACCCAGTGCCTCACACATACCAGGCAACTGCTCTACCACTGAGCCACACCCCCAGCCTGCTTTCTATGATTTGACTGTTATAAAAGATATTGTGTCATTTTGTACAGGTTAATTGTATGGATTGTTGCTAGGTTTTCTCTTGCATTCTGTTTGTTTGGCTGGCAGGTAGTTTTGCTAAATGGTGTTTTATCTGCTTAAAATGTCTTGCTTGGTACCAATATCTTTTTTTTTTTTCTTTTTGGTAGCAGGGATTGAACTGAGAGGCTCTAAACTATTGAGCCACATTCCCAGCCTTCTTATTTTTCATTTTGAAACAGGGTGTTCCTAAGTTGCTTATGGTCCTGCTAAATTGCTGAGGCTGCCTTTGAACTTGTGATCCTCCTCACTCAGCCTACTGAGTTGCTGGGATTACAGGTGTGAGCCACCGTGCCTGGCTATAACTAACTTTTCTAGTATCTAACAGCTGTACTTTGAAAGCCTCTGGCATTTTAATTGAGGTAAACCCTCCTCAATTGGTTGACCACAGTAGACCTGTTCATAAAGGAGTGGTGGGCTCCCTGAAAAAGACTAAGGTCATGAGCACAATCAATTCAGAGCTCTGGTAGTCAGGACAGGCAACTGGCTGGGGAATAGAAATGTGCTATATGGTTTTCAAGAATGGAAAGTTACTTGCCATAACTGACTCTTAGTTTGTGAAAATAAAATTATACTGAAGTCCCCTAGAGCTTGTGAATCATAAAGTCTCCATTATTATCCACAAAACAATTTTCTTGAAACTTGTTACCTGAAAATTACATGCTGTCTTAAACGAGGGCTTGGAGAATGAGAAAGAAAAAACAAATAAAAACCCAAATAAAACAAAAAATGCAATTGAATGATGTGGAATAGAGAATGTCATGCAGCATTCATCTTTAAAATATACAGTAAGAACTTTCAGGACCAAGGAGAAAACTAACAGAGTGTCTACTATGATTGCCAGAAATCCCAGGCTAAGGCACAGGCCACACTTTGAAAAACTGTGGCATAAAATAGACAATCCTTCTGATTATTTACCATAATGTTTCTTTTAGAATTTTACTTGAGAAGATGGGGTAGGGCAAAGAATCAAAACAGTTCTGAGATTTCCTCTCACATCCAATTTGAAAATTGAATTTCTTTGCTATACCTGCTAATCTGCAATTCCCCCAGTTTATGTGGGTTTCAAAGGGCTGTTGTACCCTTAGACCAGTGTTTCTCAGTCTCTGAATTATTGATATTTGCAACCAGATAATTCTGTTGTGGGACTGGCTGGTGCATTATAGGATATTTAGCGGTATCCCTGACCTCTTCCTACTAGATACCAGTAGCACCTTCCTTTTACCCTTGTCCTCACTTCCATGTGTCAACAAAAAATGTTTCTAGATGTTTCCAAATGTCTGGAGGGTGGGGTGCTAAAAACCCCCCATTGAAAACCACTGCTTTCCTCTGGATTGAGGACCTTTAGTGAGATTTAAGAGAAGAGAAGAGAAGAGAGAGAGAGAGAGAGAGAGAGAGAGAATAGAAAATGATTCTTTCTCCATATATTTATTCTAGAAATTATTCTATTTATGGAATTTAGTCAAAGATGCTTACAAGTGTTTTTTAGGAAATTGATCTTATTCCAAAGCAAGCCAATTTTACACATATTATTTTAAACTGTAATTGATAACTGCTTCTCTGTGGTATATTGTCAATGATTCGAGCCTTTACCTTGAAGAATGTTAGTGATCCATTCATTGTTTTCATAACTTGTAGCACTGCTGGCCTTCCACTGAATATTGTATCAGGTGGTATTTTTTTCTTCCCCCCAAGCTTTGCAAACTGCTTTGATGCACCATGGAAAACACATTTTAGGAGAAAAAGTTATATTTTACTCCAGTTCTCAAATTAAACTAGTTATTAGAGCAACTATTTTTTGTTTGCATTTTGAAGTTATCTAGATCCATTTTACAATGTTGTCACACAGGCATAAAGCATTTTACTACCTGCAAATTGTAGTTTGCATACAATACTGACTTTACCAAATAACCTTATGAGCAAACCTCATATCTAAAGAGTGACTAGAGGGGCTGGGATTGTAGCTCAGTCGTGAAGCCCTTGCCTAGCATGTGTGAGGCACTGGGTTCCATCCTAGGCATCAATAAATAAATGTATATATATATATATAAAGAGTGGCTAGAAATTAATATAGTTTAATCTGAAGCTTAGGGACATAGTCTTCTTCACAGTATACATCTTATCTTGACTTGTATTTTGCTCCGAAAAACAGAAAAATATTACAAGTGGTGGGTTTTGTTTTGTTAATAGAGTACAATTTATTTCAAATAACATTTTTTGGACACAGTAGGCCAGGAGTTGGGCCCATTTTAAGTAGATTTTTATTTTAGCATTAAATCAGATGTATAAAAATCATGCTATACTCATCTTTTCTCCATTATTTTAATATTAATGAAGATTACCATAAATGTTTTTGGTTTCTCATTTACATATAAATATATATATACACTTACACAGAATATTTTTATATAATAAATATGCATATATTATATATAATAAATATATATATTATATACAAACACACAGAGAGAGAAATGAAAACCAGTCACTTTTATGGTAATACAATAACTTTGTATGGTAAGTGCAAAAGACAGGCTGGATTTTTATAAAGCCAAACCTCTGACTTATATGATTCAAATATGGTGAGAATTCCATTTTCTCTCATTTTACTACTTGGCATCAAGTAGATGAGAGAAAAGCTGAAGCTCTGGGATAACCTTTTATTTTCTCCTTGGCAGGTCTGGAAGAATCAGAGGAAAACTCATGAAATGTCTGTGATTTCCAATGAGATCTGGACAAAATATATTCTTTCTGGCCCATAAAATTTTCATCATCTTTTCCCAAATTTCCTACTGATTTATTAGTAATATGTCAAGTATCAGTAGTAGTAACATTGTTAATTCATTTAAAACTTTAATTTTTTTTTTTTTAAGAATCTGTATGTTTTATGTAGGTGCTGGGCCTCTAATCTGGTACTTATTTACTTGGCTATATAGGAGCTACATGCTATTACCCACTGCAACAAGCCTGGTGCTCACGAATCTTCACGAACCAGGGACCATGCTGGAAATTTTCAGGATTAGAGGTCAGTCCCATTATTATGTACAACTACTACATACCAATAAAAAAAATGTGGAAAGAAAAAGAAAAAAAGAGTAGGTGTCTGACCTATAGCAAGCATGACAGAGATGGCATGTGGGACTGTTGTCAGGGTCCCTTAGGCAAGTTGTCTACACACAATCACTGGCCTCCTGAAAGAACCCCATTCCCGCCATCCTAGGTTCCCTTGGAAGAACTGTCTTTGGCAAGAGTCAGATGCACTGGCTTCCTCCTGCTCTGGTACAGAGAGTTTGCAATAGCACAATGTTCCTCATGCTCTATGGAGCACCATTCTGTCTGAGTGATAAAAAACAACTGGAACCTGAGAAAATTACTTTTTGTGTTTATCTTCGTTCTATATGTCAGAGAAAACAATGCATGTGTCATTTTTAACACTGTTATTTAAAAACACTCTTTCTCTACTTCCTTTCTTTTTCTGTTGTTTCTAATTCTTGTTTCTTGTTTATTTACTCTTCAAGGAGAAGGAAGCAATAGGTTAAAAACTAACTAGAAAATATGGGAGAAGGAAAGAGAACTCACTAGAGTAGGTTCCAAGCCTGGAGTGCCAGAATAGAAATTGTTTGCTTAGGGCTGGTGTATAGCTCAGAGGCAGGGCATGTGCTTAGCATGCTGGATCTGATCTCTAGCACTGCAGTATATGTAATGTATGAAATATGATATGTCAAGAGTTTTATAATGTTTTGAACAACCAATAAAAAAATTAACCTATAGGGGACTCCATCCATTTATACTCTGGACTGTTCAACTCTTAGTTTCAGGTGGAAACTTTATTCAAGCTAGCTAAAACAAACACAAAAGTAAGACATTGGATAATTCAAAGATAAAGTACATTGTCAGTGCATTAATTGGGGTTCTCCAGAGAAACAGAATCCATGAGGGGTGATATTTTAAGGAATTCACTTGTGTTTACAAGGGCAACTTACAGAGTGGGCCAGCAGGCTGGAAATTCAGATTAACAGTTGATGTTACAGTCTTGAGTCCAAATTATGCAGGGCATTAGGCTCAATCAAGGTTCTATATTGTACTCTGTAGTACTCTGGGAAACTTCAGTCTTTGAACTTAAGGCCTTCAACTGATTAAATGAGGGCCTCCCACATTATGGAGAGTAATCTGCTTTACCCAAAGTCTACAGACAAATGTAATCATATGTAAAAATAAGCATCAGACACAATAAAAAAAAGAAACAAAAAGACCCCCAAAACCCACAACAACAGGTAGACTGGTGTTTCTGAAACATGGAATTAGTCATGACAGGGAGAGTGGAATCCAGGGAGTACCATAAAGTCATCAGGAAGTTACCCCTCCTCATCTTTACTACTTCTTTGATATAGGTTTTGATTGACTTGTCTTCAGATGTTTCCATTCCTGAACCAATCACTGTGGGCAAGGGAATGCAGTTTTCTGGCTGGGCAGAAAATAAAGAAATAGGCTGTGGTATTACAGAAGAAGGGCAGTTCTCAAGGGAACTGAAATATTTTGTGCAAAAGCAGTCCTTGGGTACTTAAAGGTAGGAAGGATAAGAGATAAAGGAAAGAATATCTGGAGAGTCCTATATACTCCTGCTGCAGGAGGCAGCTGGGACATCAGTAATCACCAGAGACCACTTGTAATCAATGGGATTAAATTCATTACACTTAAACTACCGTTGAATCTCATGAAATTTTCCTTTGAGGAAAATTTAGTTTTTTTCATTTATTTAAAGTAAGTAATCTCTGTTCTTCTGAGCACAGAATTGGTTTTAATTAGAAATGCATGACATTTAAAATTATTTAAATACAAATATTTTTACACCAAGGGGTATGGAATGTGGGGTGTGGGATGTAGGGATGGAAGCAATGAAATTTTTCCTGTGCAAAAACCCTGCTGGAAAAATATTTTCCCTTAGTCATTGTTCTGAAAATCATCCCTCTCAAGGATGCTTGTTATTTAAAATTAAAAGGAATTGGCATTTGGAGATTTTTGAATAATTTAGCTGGACTTGTTTCAGTGATTACATAATGGCTGCAACTAGGTCAAGGCTCCAGTCATTCTGGGGAATTTGTAAATATACTTGTTTATGTGGCCATCACCTCCCTCACTCTCATCTTCTATATGCACCCCTTAGCCACCTCCAAGTCTCCCACACTGGAAGCACACTTAGGGCCGGGCTACTTTTATTCATCTCACTCCCTGGCATCTTGGTGGTGTGTGGCATCTTGCATACAGTGCCTTTCTGTGTGTTGAATTGCAATAATGTCTGGGAAGCTCTGGCATTTTGGAAGGTTCTGAAACTCTCAGAGAACAAAGTTCCTGGGTTGGTTCTAGGATGGTTCTGAAATTCTCAGAGAACAACACTCATTTAGAACAAAGTCAACATAACAACAGTTTCAAAAATTTCTAGATGTATAGCTGCCAACAATGGCATCTTACAACAAACATCTTACATGTAGTTAATGTGTCAAATACTGGAAACCCACTCAAGGCCAAAACTGAAGTGCTTTCTGTATATTCATTCTTCACTTTTGTTTTAAACTTCTCTCTCTCTCTCTCTCTTTTCTTTGTAGTTGTAGATGGACAGAATGCCTTTATTTAATCTACTTTTATGTGGTACTAAGGATTGAACCCAGCACCTCACACATGCTAGGCAAGCACTCTACCACTGAGCAACAGCTCTAGTGCTTAATTTCTAATTTTAAACAACTCTCCCAACTGTTTATCCAATTTCAATATTCAAATTTCCCCTACTGTTTTGATTCCTTCATCTTTTCAAAATAGGAAAGGACATCATTTTAATTTAATCAACTGGTTATTAGTTAGGAATTAATGAATTTCATTGACCTTTTGCTCTATTCTAAAGTGAAAGGATATGTTACACCTGCAAGGAAATCCAGGTATGAATAAGCTGAGAGGGATGGTCCTTCTGCCCATTGTCCTCCCTTCTCCTCTGGAAGGGGTTGGAAAAAAGCATGTATAGGGTTAGTGTGAAGACCAGCGCGAATACCGTAGTGATTTTACTCCATACCACTTTGCCTCCCAGATGTATGGCATCTTGGATCACATCATCATACCTACTATATGATTTCTGCTCTAGTTGAATGTCCCTGTTACTTTACATTCTATGTGATAGGGGAGGGGAGGGGATGTGGGGATAGGAAAGATAGTATAACGAAATAGACATTATTATTTATGTATATATGCATGACCACTATGATTCGACTGTATGTATACTCAGAAAAATGAGAAATTATATCCCATCTATGTATGATATATCAAAGTGCATAAATGTATTCTATTTTCATGTATAACTAATTAAACTAATTAAATAACAACAAATAAAAAATAAATTAAATAAAAACAACAACTGAATGTTAACTAACTTCTATGTTAGTTTTGTTAATTCAATCAAGTTGCCTAGTTGTTTAAACTAGAAACCTGGGATTCTTGGTTATATATAATAATATTTAGATAATTATAATTAATAGTCTTAAAATAATCTTTACAACTTGAGCAATTGAGAAAAGGGAGTAAAAAAAGTGAGAAAAATCAAGATTCCCAGGTTTCCACAATGTCAGGTTAGGGAGACAGCAGAATAACATATTGTTGATTTTTTTTAATGAATGCCTGACTGCCAGATAACATTAAAGCACTTCTGGGAGGCGAAGTGATGCAGTGGACATAGAATCTTTGGAGACTTGAATGAGAGAACAAAGAGAACTCTTACAAAAGGAAAACTGAAAATACAGGGAAAGATATCTCTCTCTTTTCCCCTCTCCTGCCTCTCTTCCCCCATTGCTATGGCTTCAGTGTGTCCCCAAAAGTTCATGTGTTGAAACTTAATCCCCAGTGCAATATTGTTGACAGGGAGGACCTTTCAGGAGTGATTTGGTCATGAGGGCTCTGCCCTTTTGAACAGATTAATGCTGTTTTCTCAAGAGTGGGCTCCTGATAAAAGGAAAAATTCCCTCTTCCTCCTCCTCCTCCTCCACCACCACCTGCTAATGCTCTTGCCCTTCCACCTTAAACCATGGGATGATGTAGGAAGAAGGCCTTACCAGATACATGACCCTCAACCCTGGACTTCCCAACTTTCAGAACTATTAGAAATAAATCCCCATTCTTTATAAATTATTCAGTCTTAGGGATTCTGTTATAGAAGTACAAAACAGACTAAGATATCTGCCACAATAATCCTGACTCAATGGCTAGTTTTTAACCTACTAGTTATACTTCTGCAACTGCTAAACTTTACATTTTCACTTTCCACATGATCTTCTATTCATTCATCAAGTTCAAATGCCAGTTCTACTGTAAAACCCTCCCTGGTTTCTCTGGAAAACTGAGTTTCTTTGTACTTCCATAATTCTTAACACATACGTTGATTATAAGAATACATACCATTGGAATGATGATATAGCTCAGTGGCAGAGTACATACAAGGCCTTGGGTTCAACACCCAGAACTGCAAGAAAAAAGAAATATACCATTTTACATGGTATATCTGTTGATAGTGCACCTCTCATCCCCCCCACTGGAGTGAGAGCTCTGTTGGCAAAGATCTTATGTCATCTGTGTGTGGCATTAATGTCTTGCACTGTTTCTGGAAACCACAGAACTTCAATAAATATTGTTGGATTGAATTTAGTTGAATTTATCTGAGGAATAAATTTCATAGTGCCCACCTTCCAGTCTTGTGTTTGTGATTTAAATAACTACTCAATTAATCTGAAGGCTGAGCAAAATAGGGAAAATGTCAAAGTTTGTCTTTTCTGTCTGTGGCTCTCCTTTTTTCCTATCAGTAACAAGAGCCTCTCACCTCCTTTTAGATTCCTACTGATCTCTAACATGTTTGCTCTGCCCCTTTCCCCATATTAGGAACCATCACTTATATCTCCAAAGAAATTCCCAGCTCTGCTGCACACTAGCTGGGATCCCAGACAGGTTCTTTACCTGACTGAATATTTTCTCTTCTAACATGGAGCTAATACTATCTGCTCCTAGGGTTGCTGTGGAGATTCAATAAGAAACTCCAAGTAAAGCACTAATACAATCCATGAAACATAATAATGGTTCCGTGAATGGTTTTTAAAAAACGCCTTGTTTATACAGGCATGCTAATTCTTCCCAAAGCATTTTCTTTAAAAATGCTATTTCATTATGAATGAATGATCTCTTATTAAAGAAATCTGTTAGATAAATATCTATTAACAATTTTCTTGGTGCCTGGCTCCTACCTTGTACTAGGAAAGCAGGTAAGCAGACTCGCTCGCTGCCCTGTGAGGTATGCAGATCCACAAAGTTCCCAGGATGGGGGCTGTCACATGAAATGTTTCCAGAGTTCGGAACAGAGGCACACATGAGGATGCCGAGGGAAAGTTTTCCAAGAAGGGGTCCACTAGGATGGCATCAGTCTGAGGAAGGCGGTCTCGTCAGAGGAAACATGAACTAAGGGGCAGAAGTCAGATAGGGTTTGACAGGAGAGAAGTGGTTCAGTTATAGTTTGTCTGTGTGTAGGAGGAAGGAGTCAGAAAGATGAGTCTAGAAAGATAAGCAGGTGGCCAAATCCTCAGGGGCAATAATAGCAAGTGAGCAGGGAAGCTATGGCCTGTATTCTTCTAGCCCAGTAAATCTTAACTGTGTTTATATATTGGTATCACCAGCAGCTTTTAAAAGTATCAAGGCTTAGAGTCAATCACATATGAATCACTATCGTGTAGTCAAGGCATACTCAAAAAAAAAAAAAAAAAGCTTCCAAAGTAGTTCTAATATACAGCTAATAATGACAACTGCTATAATTAAACCCCTGAAGTCCCACTAACCCAGATTTGGCTGCAAAGGTATTTAGTGTAATCATGGACCTTTAGAATTACGAGGAAACTGAAAGCACATGTGGTCTTAGGTGCTATTTTTTTTTTTTGCTGTTGGTGATTAAACTCAGGGGCACTCTACTACTGAACTGCATCCCAATCCTTTTTATTTTATTTTGACGCAGGGTCTTGCTAAATTTGCAGGCTGGCCTTGAACATCTTTTTCCCCTAGCCTCCCAAGAAGCTGGGATTACAGGTATGTATCCCACTCTTGTATTTTTTAGTTAAATAAATATTATTGAAGCAAAATATACAAAAAACTTTTTGTTTTAACCATTTTTAAAAATACATTTTTTTAGTTGTAGGTGCACACAATACCTTTATTTTATTTTTATGTGAGGATCAAACCCAGTGCCTCACGCATGCCAGGCACTCTACCATTGAGCCACAGCTTCAGCGCTGTTTTTAAGTTTTAAGTGCACAGCTTTAAGTGCACATTTTTAAGTGCACAGCTCAGAGGCATTAATTATACACACTGTTGTGCAACATCCATTTCCAGAAATTTCATTATCCCAAACCAAAGCCCTGTACCCACTGAACACTAATTCCCTATTCCTTCCTCCCCCAACCCCTTGCAAATACCATTCCAATTCATGTCTCTATGAATTTGACTTATCTAGGTTCCTCATACAAGTAGAATCACACAGTATTTGCCTTTTGTGATTGGTTATTTCACTTAGCCTAATGCCCTCAATGTTCATCCATGTTGTAGGATGTGTCAGAATTTCCTTCCTTTCTAAGGCTGAATAATATTCCATTGTATGTACATACCACATGTTGTTTACCCCTCATCTATTGATGGTATTTGATCTGTTCCCATCTTTTGGCTACAGCGAATTATTTTGTTGTAAAATTGGTGCACAGAAATCTGAGTCCCTGTTTTAAATTATTTGGAGAATATGCTCAGAAGTGAAATTGCTGTGTTATACACTAAAATTGTATTCTGTTTGTGGACCAGATGTGCTTTCAGTTTCCTTGTAATTCTAAAGGTCCATGATTACACTGAGTACCTTTGCAGGCAAATCTGGGTTAGTGGGACTTCATGGGTTTAATTATAGCAGTTGTCAATATTAGCTGTATATTAGACTTACTTTGGAAGCTTTTTTGGTTTCCACAGTAGCAGTACCATTTACATTCTTATCAGCAATGCATTAGAGTTCCAATTTCTCTACATCTTCACCAACATTTATTTTCTGGCCATCCCAATGGGAATGAAGTGGCATCTCTTGTGATTTTGAATTGCATTTCCCTAATAATTAGTGATGTTAGCATTTTCTATGGGTTTACTGGCATCTGTATATCTTATTTGGACAAATGTCTATTTAAACCCTTTGCCCATGTTTTGATTTTTTGACCACTGAGATGTAGAAGTTCTTTATATATTCTGGATTTTAATCCCTTATTAGATATATGGCTTGTAAATATTTTCTTCCATTCCACAGGTTGCCTTTTCACTCTGCTGATAATGTCCTTTGATGTGTGAAGGTTTACCTTTTGAAGCCCAATCCATCTATTTTTCATTTGCTGCTGTGCTCATGGTCTGTTTTATAGATATGCACACTCAGTCCCACAGGATGGGGCCCCAGGAGGCAGACTCTGGAATGGAGGCTGGTATACAGGTCTTGGGGAGTACCCCTGGCTTCACCACCTGTTGAAGGGAAGGGAAGAAAGCATAGAGGGAGGAGCTAGGCTCAAAGAAAGCCTCAGCTGACTCCACAGTGAACTCTGAAGATGAGGTGGATTTTCAGATATGTCCCTTGTTGGGGTGAAGGAGCTGGTCTTTATATTTGACTAGTCATTGGATGTAAGATGCTACAAGAAAGAGGGTGGTCAAGGGCCAGGCAGTTCAGTTCTCCTGAGCCCAGATAATTTTTTTTAATATTTATTTTTTAGTTGCAGGTGGACATAATACCTTTATTTTATTTATTTATTTTTATGTCATGCTGAGGATCGAACCCAGGGCCTCACCTGTGCTAGTCGGGTGCTCTACTGCTGAGCCACAACCCCAGCCCCAGACAATTCTTAAGAAGACTGACAGCTGAGTGCTGTAACTGGAGAGAATAACGTTTTCATTCCCAGAGCGGGTCTTGGTGATCTTTGCAACTATTACAGTTACAAAGAGGTCCCCTGCATAACAGGAAAATAAACCAAGTGTTTTCTCCTGCTATACTCTCAACACAGAACACTTCAGGTCATCAAAATGTATATGGTTTTTTTCCCACATTGACCAATTCTCTAACACCAACTGGGAGTCCTATAATTTAACTCTATTCTGACACTAACCAAAGTTAGTGTGGATTCTACAGGTCAAGGGCTCAGTTCCACAAGACTTTCCTCAATTTCAGATGCCAATAATAAGCTCAGATTCCAATCTTGCCTCTGACTGACCAGCTATAAATTAGAAGTTCCTGAAACCCCCTCCTCAGGTTTGATCATTTGCTAGAATGCCTCACAGAACACAGGGAAATTTGTTTACAAGTTTAGAAGTTTATTATTTGTTATGTTTAACAGTTTATTATCAAGTATGTTACAAAAGATACAGATGAAAAGCTGTTTGGAAGTGATGACTAGGGCAGTATGGAGGAGTTGCACGGACTTTCCATTCCCGTTTTGAGTTCTGCCACCCTCTTAGCACTTCCTAGCAACCTGGACCTCTCCAAACCCTCTTTGGGTTTTTGTGGAGGCTTCATTACATTGTCATGATTGAGTAAACCATTGTCCCTCAGTGATTAACTCAACCTTCAGCCCCAAACCTCTCCCCTCTTTGAGGGTCAGTGGGTGGGGATGAAAGTTTCAACCCTCTAATCACACTGTTGGTTCCCCAGGTAACCAGCCCACATTTAGAGTGTATCCAGGAACTCCTAGTCATCAGTTATTTCATGAGCAAGCAAAAAGACACTTATTGCTTAGGAAATTCCAAGGGGGTTAGGAGCTGTGTGCTAGGAAACAGGGCAGGGCGAATGCACAGACTAGTTGTATATTTCTTATTGTTTCACATCTCCTCTTGCTTGTTTGCTCTTGTAGAGAGGGCATGCCATTGGTACTCCAATACAATTTACAGAGGAATCTAAATTATGGGAATCCCACTTCCCTTGTCACCTTCCATTTGCCATTTCTGATCTTTTTCTTTCCCATCTACAACATTGTAATGTTACTGTTGCCCTTCTGTTGATGTCTGCAATTTTATTTTATGCCCCAGGATTCCTGCCATGTTAAGCCTTTCCTTGCCTAATTCATAAGTAGCAGGAATGGGGGCAAAAATGCAGCTGGCTCAAATCTTCAAGAATGAATGGGATGAGGGAAGAGCAGAGATGTGTTGGGATAAAATACACAGAAATCCCCAGCTCTAGGGCATAGGCTCAGGTACTGAGGGTAAGAAATTGAATCACATAGATGACTAAAAAGTTATGGGGAAAAAAAGGATAATAATGCTATTGTTTGGATGTGGTCTGTCTCCCAGCAGTTCATGTGTTGGAGCCTTGGTCCTCTGTGCGGTGGTATAGAGGAGGGAGGACTTTAAGCTGTTGAGCTTAGTAGTGGAATATCACTGAGGCAACTCTCCTCTGAATAGATTAAAGCAGTTCTCATAGTACCCTTTGGTAAGTTTGAACAGTTGCTTAAAATTAACCAGACTGGCTGTGCTCCCTCTTTTGGCTTCCTGTCTTGCCTAATTACCTTTTACTCTTGCTAGTGCTCTTGCCATTATGATACCCTCTTCCAAGATGATGTAGCTAGAGGCCCTCACCAGAATTGGTGCTGTGCTCTTTGGATTTTCAGCCTCTAAAACTATGAGTTAAATAAACTTCTTTTCTTTTTAAATACCCAGCCTATAGTATTTTGTTATGGTAACAGAAAACAGACTAATATAGATGGTTAAAAGGTACTTGGCATCAGGAACATAAACTGACCTTGGTTTTAAATGTTCAAGAAATGACAAAATGAAATGAAAAAAAAATAAGTGTAATATTCATGTTTAATTACCATGCAGTATAATAATTCAGTATGTAATAAAATGTGTTAAAACTTAAATGGTTAAAACCATTTAAATTCTCTCGAGTTGATTGGAACAATATATTCTTACATAATAAATAATGAGCTGAATAAATTGTGGCTCACATAACATGGAGCTCTTAACACAACCCCACAATATCAGCGGAAATGATCACTGCAGTGTATCCTCTTCAATAGAAGGGAACTATTTTTGGATACCTCTTGCTTCCCCTTAGAGCTCACAGATACAGAATCCATGTGCTGAGTTCTTGACCCTAAACCCTAAGACTAGTTTTTGATAAAAATTTCTTGTTAGTCAGGTGTGGTGGTCCATACTTATAATCTCAGCTATTTAGAAGGCTGAATGAAGAGGACCTCAAGTTTGAGGCCAACCTGAGAAATTTAGCTAGACCCTCTTGCCAAATAAAAAAATAAAAAGAGCTGGAGGTATTTATTAGTGGTAGAGTGTTTGCCTAGCATGAGGAGGAGTTGGGTTTAATCCCCAGTACCTCAAAAGAAAAAGCAAAATCTTACTGATAATCTTAATGGTATACTATATTTTGTTATATGTATTCCTAAAATATTGAATTTTTAATTTTCCTAACATGTTGAAATTATTGCACTTATGGACACTTCTATTCCTACCTTAGGTAACCCACTACTCCTCAGTTTTAATTAAAGTCCATTACCTAAGGGTCTTCCCAAGGCCTTTATGTCAGTCATCTGAAGTCAGGCTCTATTTGGAGCCTGAGTAATCTTTTTTCCCCCCCTGAGAAAAATTCCTGAGAAAGTATCTTCTGTTTGGAAATGGTTCAGGACAATCCAGATGGAAGAACAAAAGATGAATTTTATATTCTTCATTTCCCTCTCTAGTCCATGGTTTTAAGGACATTAGAATTTCCTTCAACCTCCATGCTACCATATCCCACTCCCTTCCCTGCCTCAAATTAAATCAGATTTTCTATCAGAGAGATTGGGAAGATTCACTGAACTAAAAAAGCAGTTCACCTGCACAGACTTTCCATTTGACCCCTATTTTATTTCTGGGTGTCATTTTAATTTCTCATGTGGACCCTATTTATACACTCTACATCCTCACATGTTTCTCTGGGGAAATTTACTCAGAATAAACCCACAAACGCAAATTTCCTCAAAAATAACTTAATAAGAAACAAGTCTTGACATTTCCTTTGGGTTACAGCCTCATTTTTCTCAGGGCACCCATGTGAGAACTGAAATGACTTTTTGGTTGCAGTAAAGTCTTCTTTATTCTCCTCTCCTTGATCATTGCTATTAAGTATTTAGCCTACGTTTTTATGGTTCAATCTTGGAAATGGCTTTTAGAGTTTCGTGATTATTTCCTTAATTGTTTCCATTTTTCATCTTTTACATGACATTAGCTACTGCCCATTCTTTAAACTGCCCAAAAATTAGGACGTGAATTGTATTACCAAATAGTAAAATGGAAAATTCCTCTCCTAGGATTCTTAGCGAGTCACAGGAGAAACCCTGAGGATATGCTGTCTCACCACAGAGCCAGCTCAGAAGCCCAAGACCTGAGCAAGTTCTCTACTTTGTTTACAACTTATCAGTGTGATATCTCATCAAGGCTTAGTAAAAATCATCCTGCCTTTTGATTATTTTGCTTCATTGTTTAGCACAGGACAAGTTACACATCAAGTATCCTCTCCCTTTGCTTTCAGTTCTTCCTTTATGCCAAGTGTTCCAAGCAGCTCCTCAGCTCTTATCCTCTGTTTCTAGTGGTTCCTGGACTCTCCAGGCCAGGATGGACAGTATATCTCTGTGAGGGAGATATTGATATCAATCAGTGATCAATGGTACTTGATGAAAATCACTCAAAGACCTGACAAAGTATAGCATTGTTTGTCAGTGTATCCCAATTCTTCCTGTTTTCCTATCCCTTCTCTCCTCCCTTCTACCAGTCATTAGTAGTTAGGAATAGATTATATCATTTTGGGGCAAAGGAGATAATTCCTAATTATCTAACTTTTCCTTACTGTGTTATTGGGTTACAGTTTCACCAGAAATTGAGGAAAATCCTTTGTTCTTCTAAAGTTCCTTTTTTCCCTGAAAATTCTTGCCTGAAATATTAGATTTGGGGGAATGAAAGTAAACCAAGAATAATTTTTTTCTATCATAAGTAGTAAATCTAGTTTTCAAGTCAAAGAGGGGAACTATTAAGACTCACAGCAACCCATTTATTACTTGGCTTTAAAAATCACATGAGATGTTTTTTTTAAAAGATTTTTTAAAACATTATAGTTTGCTTTTCATATTGTGAGCCATACACAAATAATGCAAGACTGAGTCAAACCTGGGGTGTGTGCAGGGTCAGTTCCAGAAAACAGGGGACATGTAGTGTTTTTATTCTGCCATCTAAGGGAGAGATTCATGGGGCAGCCAAGGGCAGTAATTATTGATCCTTAGCCTTTACATAAAGCTAAAAGCAAAATGCTAGAAGTTGAGAGTGGGAGATGAATACAGTCCACTGGGGAAAATGGCAAGCTACCAGGCAACAACAAGTCAGAAAACAGTCACCAACGCCATTCAGTTAACTCTACCATGCTGTGTTTTCCTTGGCTGGGACTTTTTTTTTTTTTTACCTGGGTGGCCAGTCTTCATTGGCTTTTGGGTCTC